TGAGTTTGTATATATTGAGAGACATAAGAACCTCTCTTCGTCTCTTAATCATCTTACATGTTTTGGCTGGAGGTTGTTGTACACCTGTTCGGAAGGAATTCCTCGTGCCTAGATGGCGTTTTACACCCTTCTCGTCGAGAGAGATTCCTCCTGACAAGATGGGCTTTAAACCATCTCGTTGGGAGGAATCCCTCCTGACAAGATGGTTTACAGCCTTAGAGTGCGTGCACGAAGGGGGATGGAGTGTGATTATCACTCCCCAAAGAATTTCCCTTGGGGCAAGTTTTCCATGCATGTTACCCTTCTATATTTTTGATGTGCCAAATTTTCCATTTTTTCCTGATAAAGATGATGGATAATTATGTAGAAAGTGCCTCAGGAACACCACCGTGACTGGGGCAGGCTTTGAGGGGAACCAACATGTTGCGATTGCATATAATGCAATGGTAAAGTCTTCCCTTGACCTTGCCAGTACACCCTTCCTCCCAACAATCCAAGAGTTGAGGTTTACTTACCTCGTTTGTCTGGAGATCAATGAACGGGTGGAGGGTCTTTGGAGGGTTGGGCTTGATGTTGCATTTTGGGCAAATCATTGGTGGTGCATCATTCCTTCCTGCTTGAGCCTGGATGAGGAGGAGAATGCACATGAAAATCACCATGAGCATGGGATTTAGATGAATGATAGAATGCGGTGGTCTCATGGAAATAGATTCCAATGTGGATTGAACGTTGGTCTTGTAGCTGATGTCACAGAGGGCTTTTGAAGCTGGAAGAGAATCCAACTATGCCAGCAAGGTGTGATGCCCATCATGAGTAATATGAAATTAAGTAGTTGTTTGAAATCCAGTAGAGTTGCAAACCACAAATACATAGTGATGAAAAACAGGAGTTATAATTGACACTAGAACCAGAACTTAAAGATAGAAAAGCAAAGGTTAGAGAAACATTCAAAAAAGAAATTCAAACAATAATAAGCAAGAAAATTTACCATGGTGAGATTTTATCTTAGACTTAGACAGAGCAGAAATACTGAAATAGACAATGTCAAATAAAGAAAAGTAGTGGACACTGAGACAATAAAAACAGAAAGAAAAGGTTTATCAAAGCTTTTTTGACAAGAAAAATTGTTGAGAGACTTTTTTCTCACCAAATTGGCAAAAGCCAAGTGAGAAGATCAAGAGAGAGAGTTGGTGGAACAAGGATGAGTGAGCACTGAGTCAATGATGAGAGAATGTGAAGTCAATGTTGATGCAAGTGAACAAGGAGGGAAATGAGAGAGAGGACAAAGAGAATGAGAGAGGAAAAGAAACGGAGTCAAACTAGTGGGATGTTTAGGGAAATGGTGAAGGAGTGGAGTCGAAGATGATGTTGAAGGATGAGCCAAACAGTTTGAGGAAAGGTGGTTAGTTGATTGAAAGTGAAGGAAGATGATTGTTGGAAGTGTTGGAGACTGTTATGAACATGTTGATTGAGAGCATTGAGCCGGTGTGGTATACCTTAAGGGTAGCCATCTGGCCCATTTAAAAAACTTTACAGTCTTTTCTTTTATTACAAATTACATACTCTTTTACACCTTTTTTTTCTCATATATACACTCACAAATCACACAATATGGCTCAAGAACTGAATTCTATGGTCAATTTCACCCTTGGTCACCACTGGAGGCGTCACTGGAACTCAACTGGATTGGAAGCTACACCCTCTGGACCATCACTACACTCAATTACACAACTCAACACCATGCCAACACTCCAACACTCAACAACCTCAACAAATTACATAATTCACACTACACACATGCACGTTGCAGGACAACTACATAATCACACCATTATAGTACAGGTATACATACAACTACACTATCTTCTGACACTTGACATATGAGCTTCTAGGCTGGTCCTGTTGCTATGTCACTTTTTAATCTTCCTTGCAGCTGTGACACTATCTCACACCACTAATGTAATTATATACTCATCACCTCACCTTAGCTTGCAGACTAGTACATCCCCTCATGTAAAATGCTACACCAGCATAAAACCCGGGGGTTGATAAGCGCACGCCAACCCCCATGGCGCGCGCCAATCTGCACGCCATTGCAGAATGGCGTGCAGGCAGGCACGCCACTCGCCTGCAGGGGGTATACCCTGCAGGTTGGCGGGCCTGCCTGCAGGCCCAATATGGGTCCTAAACGCATATTTATATGCGTTTAGGACCTGGGCCGTCCCATAGGACACAGGCATGGGTCCTATGGGACGGCCCCGCTGTTTTTTTTTTTTTTTTTCTCCCACCCCCTCGGCCTAGAGAGGCCGAGGTCAAACCGC